GAGACAGAAAGTAGAATAATGGCTGCCTAGAGCTGGGGTGTCTGGCGGATAACAAGTGTTTTCTAGGGGTGATGAAAGCACTCTGGAGTTAGTGATGATGGTTGCACAGCTCTGTAAATATACTAAAAACCACTGAATCATATACTTTAAATGGGTAAACTGTATGGTATGTAAATTATGTCTCAATAAAGCTGCTATAAAGAAAAAAGCACAGCACAGGGTCTTGACTTACAAAATGTTATCTCACGTTATTTCTTAGAAACTACATTCAGAGAAAAGACAAACTGGACCATATGAAAAACAGTATCATTTCAAATGTCTCTGAAAATTCCATATGAATTCAGTCAGATGTCATAAAATGCTATGAATGACCTCAAAGTCAAAGGACCTATCAAAGCCAAATAAACTTGTATGAAATCAAAGTACTATACTATCACAAACTTCCCCACTGGGATGAATTTGCTGCAATCATGTTATCCTATAAAATGAATCATTAAGGCAAAACTATTTGGCTACAGTAAAAATACTCGTTATGTATTTCTATTTAAACACATGGTCATATTATGTACCCAGAGTTCAGTATTACTCAATGATAGTGAATGTAAATTTAAAATATACAGTAACTCATTTTTGCAAAAGGAAACAGAACTCTGAATGGCTCACAATAAAATTTACTTTATTTTAATTAAATGCTATGGTCATTTTTCTTAAAAAAAATACATTTATCACTTTTACAGTATAGACTACTACCCTATAATATGGGTCATTTAAATTACACATTAGAGTTGTCCCATAACATAGAACAAAATTAAGAAAATGTAACCCACATCTTCTTAAGCACAAAGACAGAAGAATACAAAGCCTTTTGTTAAAGCCTCCACCATACCTGGTGCCTTGATACAGAACACTGGCCTAGCCTGTCCAGATGTTAAGTGCCAGATGCTGATTTCAGTTAGTTGTCCCTTAAGCTTTTCCAACTCAACCTGTCCAACACAGAGCTCATGTTCTGACCCTAAGAGCACAATTTCTTCTTCCTCAGATAAAGGCAACAGGATCTACCTAGGCATCCAAGGAAGAACTTCAAAAAAAATCAATCTGGACTCTTCTCTCTCTCCTTATTTCTAACTCCCCAAAGATCCTTCAAGTCAAATACCAAATCCTCACCAATTCCACCTCCTAAGTATTTGTTGTACCCTTACCATCCTCTGTCCACCATTGCTTACTTTCGGTTCCATCATACCTCACCTGGGCTCTGCCTTGAGTCTCATCACTCTTAAATAAAAATCTCCCACACAATCCTGCCACCAAAGTGACCTTCAGTGCCAGCCAGGATGTCCAACATTATGGTGGGAACTGCTCCTCTACTTTTTACAACACGCAGTTCAGATAAGGACCCTCCTCCACCTAACCTCTTGGGTGGAGCATGTGATCCAGACGTGACCAGAGTTCTCCAACCCAACCACAGTGACTGGTTCAGGGATAAAGAATTGTCTCCAGTTAGGCTATTCAGTACCTTCCTTTGCACTCTTTACTGAAACCATCAGGAAAAAAAGCACCATTATCTTTTGCTGAGATCACTAGCTGTGAGAATGATGTACCAAAAATGGGCAGTATTCATCTCTGCCACCATGTGCCTAAGATTAAATCATTATAGAGGAAATTGAGGTTGCGAAACCAGCAAAAGACACAGATCTGATGGTATTTCCCCAGGATCTACTGAAGCCAGAACTTCTCTGTTACATACACAAATAAATACTTTCTTAAAAAAAAAAATTCAACTTTGTTTTCTATTGCCTATCAAGTCCTATCTAACACATTTCTTGACAACTACTAAACTGAATTCTACAGCACTACTATTTAAAAGCCTTCAATGATTCTCTATTACATTAAGGTTAAAATCAAAAGAGCTCAACAGAGAGCCCTAAAAATTCTGGCCCCTACATCATTTGATGGTATAAAAATCAACTTTTGCATTCCAAAATACTGTTAAGCAAAGCAAAAAGATAAATGACACACCAGAAAAGAATATCTACAATTTTTATCACAAAGGGCCAACGTCCGTAATACACAGAGTTTCTAAGAAGCGAAAAGAAAAAAAGCAATACCCCTAGAAAAATAAGCAAAAATGTCATATTTCAAATTTTAAATGAAAAATTCAAATGCATTTTAAGCATAAGAACACACGTTTAATTTCACTTATGATAAAAGGAATGAAAACTCAAACCACACAGAAATTTCATTCCCATGTATATGGCAAAAATCCAAAATTCTTACAAAATATTCTATGGCCAAAGCCATGAAGGAAGAGGCATCTCACAGACACTGGTACAAAAGGGTACAACCACCATAGAGAGCAGACTCTCTGGAGAGAAATTCACCTTTGACCGGGACACCCGTAACAAAGACACACTGACAAAAACACAAAAATTCTAGGCACAACGGTACTCACTGCAACACTATGAAAGGATAAAAGACTAGAAATAGCCAAATGGCCAGCAGTAAAGGTTTGACTGAAAAAATTATGGCACTTCCACGACAAGAGTACCATGCAGCTAGAAAATGAAGATCTCTCCGTGTATTGCTAGGGAGTGACCACTAAGATGGAAACAAGTCTGCTACACTACCCCTCTGTGTAAGAAAAGGGCGGGAAATGGG